CTTAAAGAGTTTATTGGAAAATATATGCATGTGATGCTGTACGTGTATAGTTTATTATAATTATTTATGATAACCATATACATATGTATATATTCAATATAATTATAAAGTACTATATTTTTATTTCAGTAAATTTTATTTTAGACAATACTCTAGATATTATTCCACTCTACATTAACTTGTAAAAAATATACAAATATTTCATCAATTTGTAAAATATTTGCACAATGTTTTTGCTCTACAATAATATAAAATACGAAAAATTTTTTTAATACATTTCATTTTTAAAATCTTTTACATATATTTTATAGAATTTATTATATATATATATATATATATATATACACATATATATGTACATATATAAAATCTTCCATATATATTAAAAAAAAAGGATTTTTTTACTTTTGCGCAAAAATGTGTCGATTTTAACATTACGCTCAAATCCTTCAAATGGCAGGAATCCGAAAGAGAAGTATAAAATCACAAAAATCTGGATTAGTCCTCTCATACCGCACGACCTGGTATTTAACACGGTGGAACGGGGTATTCTAATTAAACGGTACACGTCTGATCTCCGAATGGAATGCCAAGACCGGCATCGATTACCCAACCAATTTGCGACGAGACTCCGCCGCCTCTCTGTCCCCCTTCGAGTCAGTTTCCGTGAATCTCTACGAGGAAATGCCACGAATGCGGCTATACCTCGCGCCTGAGATCGAAGAATGCAATGAGAATTAAGTCGAAGACCCGACAAACTGATAAAAGAAACGGCAAGAACTTTACACGCAAATAATACTTTATCAAGCAAAATAAAGGAAAAATGAAAGAAAATATATGTGAAAAGAAGATGCCGTAGAAGAAAAAAAAATATATAATACATTAATTCTGATTTTACTAGTTTTTCAATTCTCGACTTATCAGAGTATGAGTTTCATCCCGTACACAGCCGTTTTCTCGATTAAAAAAAAATATTTTAAAAGCATAGAAGCGAGGAAAGCAATAAAATGGCTCTACCCGGCGTCTAAGAACGCGATCATAAGTTGCCGCGAAATTCTGCGACGGAAATGAAAAAGCAAAGCATCATTCGCAGGGGAACCAGTTCGCGTCGCGAACCGCAACACATCCGCCGCGCGTTCTCGCAGGGGGATATTCCGGGGTAGGATTAAGTAGCGACGCGTGCTTCCTGACGGCTCCACGCCCGGACCCTTAATTCGCTCCTCGAGGGAACGTGACCCGGGGATAAATTTGAATTTGCGCAAACTGCACTTGTCCCTTCGCGACGAAGGGACTTGAGCGAGAGAGCGAGAGAGCGAGAGAGAGAGAGAGAGAGAGAGAAAGGGGAAAGATAGGATGGTAGAGCCAGGGTCGCAATTCGACGGCAAATAAGACGACGGCTGGGAGAAAGAGAGATAGCGGAGAATAGAGAGTGAGTCAAAACGACCGGCTTTAATAGCCAGTACAATGGAGGCCACGCGAATGAGGGTGATCTTCGAGTCTTTTACGTCGCACTTGACGAAACAATAGTCGAACGAGCGAGCCCGGTGAAGCGATAGACCGACGCGCTGGTCGTACGGGGAAAAGGATGAGTTGACGGAAGCCGGAGAGAGAGAGAGAGA